TTAATTCTTTTCTTCTTATTTTTGGTAATTTGTATTCCCTCTCTGATATTCTTGACCAATCTCTCTGGAATTTATCTATTAGGTTGATTTGTTCAAAGTACCAACTTTGGGTATTATCCATTTTCTTTTCTTTTTAAGTTTTTATTTAAATTTCAGTTAGTTAACATATGGTGTAGTATTAGTTTCAGGTGTACAATATAGTGATTCAACATTTCCATACAACATCCAGCGCTCATCACAACAAGTGCACTCCTTAATCTCCATCACCTATTTCACCCATCTCCTCACCCACCTCCCCTCTAGAAACCATCAGTTTGTTCTCTGTAGCTAAGAGTCTGTTTTTTAGTTTGCCTCTCTCTCTTTTCTTTTTTTCTCTTTGCTTCTTTCTTTGGTGTCTTAAATTCCACATATGAATGAAATCATAGAAAACTACCCTATGATTCAACAATTGTGTTTTTAGGTATTTACCCAAAGAATACAAAAATATTAATTCAGAGGAATACATGCACCCCTATGTTTATAGCAGCATTACTTATAATAACTAAATTATGGAAACAGCCCAAGTGTCCATTGACTGATGAATGGATAAAGAAGTTATGGTATATATATGTGTATATATATATTATATATATATATTATATATATATATACACACACAATGGAATATTACTCGGCAATAAAAAAGAATGAAATATTGCCCTTTGCAATGACATGGATGAAGCTAGAGAGGATTATCCTAAGAGAAATAAGTCATAGAAAGACAAATACCATATTATTAATTTTCTTTATAGTTTGTTCATTTTCTATAGAATTAATTACACTCTGTCTTTATTTTTCTTTCATTCTTCTTACTTTATATTTAATCTTTCATTCATTTCTAGCTTTTTAAAGAAGCTTAGAGCATTGATTTTTAACATGTCCTTTTTTCCAACATAAATATTTAAAGCTATAAATTTCCTTCTAATCACTTCTTCAGTGGTAAGCTATACATTTGGAGTGTTGTACTTCTTTATTAGTCAATTCAGAATATCTTCTAACTTCCTGTGTGATTTCTTTTTTCATCTATATGTTATTTAATGAGGGTTGTTTCCTGATCCAGGAAGACTGTGTCCTCATGTATCTGAGACTCTCCTGCCCCCTACAAGAGACCTCTTGGCAGTGAGGGAAGTAGGTTGGGATTCTCACCATGCCACTACTCCACCAAAAAAAAAAAAGCAGATGGGCTGGCGAAACTCCTTCCACAATTTCATAGCAATGGCAGGTGTCAATGGGATAGCCAGTGGTGCAAGATAAACCAAACAGACCAAAATAACACTGTAACAACTCTGAAAATTATGAATCATAACTCACAAGACCCATGTGCCAAATCCAAGCAGGGTGACTACCTGCTTTTGAAGAAAAATTTTAATAGGATCAAGATGCTTCTAATACACAAAATTACTATCATACCCATCACATAAAGAAACAAGAAAATTACAACTTGAATGAGAAAAGATAATTAACTGACCCTAACACTAATCAGGTTTTCCATTTGTATGATACAAATTTTAAAGTAACTGTCATAAAAATCAACAATCAAATTCTCTTGAAACAAATGATTTGAAAGTAAAAGAATGGAAATACATATTATGCAAATAGCAACTATTAAGAAAGCTGGAGTGGCTATAACAATATCAGATTAAATATACCAAATATAGCCAAAAACATTTAATAGAGATAAAAAGGGACATTTTGCAATAAGTAGGGTAATCTTTCAGGAAGATATAATGTATGTACTGGTGTTAAATCCAAAATGAACAAATCAAAAATTGACAGAATTGAAAGAAAAAAGGACTGCAATAATAATAATTGAAAGTGTCAAAATCTCACTTTGAATAATGGATATAGCAACTACATAAAAGATTATAATATACATAAACTTGAAAAAAAAAAACACTATAAACCAGCTAGAACTAACATGCTTCTAGACACCATTTTACCCAACTGCAAGAAAACACAAGTTTCTTTCAAGTACACATATAGAATGTTTTCCAAGACAGATCATATGTTAGGCCAAAAACAAGAGCCAATGAATTTAAAATAATTGAAATTGTACATAGTCCCATGTGCTATCTTCAGCTTATAGAAGAAAACATATCTACCTAATTCTCTCTTCCAGACGCTTTTAAAAAAAACATGTATTGGGGGGCAGGTTAAGATTTTGGCCAACTTCATAAATTGATCTCTATTCAGAAAGTACTTTTGATGGACACATTGTCAGTCTTAATTTTACCAAATTCCAACATTACTTCCAAAATACTAATAGATACTACTGATTTATATTTTATCATTGCTGACATTATTGTTATTTAGTAGTAATAAATTGAGTGAATTAAGAGAAGTTGTTATAAACAGCTTTACTGAACAGACTATCAGGATCAGGGATACATTTGCAGCCTATATTTTGGATCAGACTTAAGTTTATATAATTTTTGTCTGCACAAGCAACTGCCTTGTTTTGAAACAGGTCTCTTTCCAAGATGCAAGCAGAGACTGACTCCTTGAAAATTTCACTGAAATAAACTTCAAATTCTAATCTTCCTCAGTATTTTTCACAGGACTAGAACAAATAATCCTAAAATTTGTATGAACAACAAAAGACCCTGAATAACCAAAGCAAACCTGAAAAAGAAAAACAAAACTGGAGGTATCACAATTCCTGACTTCAAGTTATATACAAAGCTATATTAATCAAAACATTATGGTACTGGCACAAAAGTAGACACTTAAATCAATGGAACAGAATAGGAAGCCCAGAAATAAACCCATAATTATATGGTCAATTAATATTTGACAAAGGAGGAAAGAATATGCAATGGTAAAAAGTCTCTTCAACAAATGGTCTTAGGAAAACTAGTCAACCAACATACCAAAGAATGAAACTGGACCACTTTCTTACATCATATACAAAAATAAACTCAAAATGGATTAAGGGTCTAAATATGAGACCAGAAATTATAAAAATCTAGAAGAGGGGTGCCTGGGTGGCTCAGTTTGTTAAGCGACTGCCTTCGGCTCAGGTCATGATCCTGGAGTCCCCGGATCGAGTCCCGCATCGGGCTCCCTGCTCAGCGGGGAGCCTGCTTCTCCCTCTGACCCTCCCCCCTCTCATGTGCTCTCTCTCTCATTCTGTCTCAAAAATAAATAAATAAAATCTTAAAAAAAAAAATCTAGAAGAGAACACAGGCAGTAATGTCTTTGACATTAGTCATACAAACATTTTTCTAGATATGTCTCCTGAAGCAAAGGAAACAAAAGCAAAACTAAACTATTAGGACTACATCAAAACAAAAATCTTCTGCACAGCAAAGGAAACTATCAAAAAAGCTAAAAGACAACTTACTAAATGGAGAAGATATTTGCAAATGGCATATCCAATAAAGGATTAGTATACAAAATATGTCAAAAATTTATACAACTCAACACCAGAAGAACAAATAATCCAATTTAAAAATGGGCAGAAAACATGAACAGACATTTCTCCAAAGACCTACAGATGGCCAACAGACACATGTAGAGATGCTCAACATCACCCTTCATCAGAAAAATGCAAATCCAAACCACAATGAGATATCATCTCACACCTGTCAGAATGGCTAAAATCAAAAACAGAACAAACCACAAGTGTTGGTGAAGATGTGGAGAAAAAGGAACACTCACGCACTGTTGGTGGGAATGCAGACTGGTGCAGCCACTCTGGAAAACAGCATGGAGGTTCCTCAAAAATTTAAAAATAGAACTACCATAAGATCCAGTAATTCTACTACTGAGTCTTCACCCCAAGAATACAAAAACACTAATTCAAAAAGATAATGCATCATCCTTGTGTTTATTGCTGCATTACTTACAATAGCCAAATTATGGAAGCACCCCAGGTGTTCATGGATAGATGAGTGGATAAAGATGTGGTATAGATATACAATGGGATATTATTCAGCCATAAAAACAGAATGAAATCTTTCCATTTGCAAAGACATGGATGGAGCTAGAGAGTATAATGCTGAGTGAAATAAGTCAGTCAAAGACAAATACCATATGATCTCACTCATACATGAACTTTAAGAAACAAAATAAACAAACAAAGAGAAAGAGAGAAATAAGCCAAGAAACAGACTCTTAACTGTTGAGAACAAACTGATGGTTACCAGAGGGGAGGTGGGTGGGGGGATGGGTGAAATAAGTGTAAGGAATTAAGGAGTGCACTTGTTGTGATGAGCACTGGGTGGTATGAAATTGTTGAATCACTATATTGTTCACCTAAAACTAATATGACACTGTATGTTAACTATACTGGAATTAAAATAAAGTAAAACAAATAAAAAAATAAAAGCACTATATGAATAACTATATTCCACCACACATCTAACTTATGAACTATAGATAACCAAAAGGGTCAACAACCACACACACACACACACACACACACACACACACATAGAAGAAACCTGGATAAACAAATATACACAAAATGTTGTAGATATGCACACTACTTTTTTTTAATTAAAAGATTTTATTTATTTGAGAGAGAAAGTATGTGCACAAGAGAGAGCACGAGTTGGGGGAGAGGGTGGGCAGAGAGAGAGGGAGAAGAAGACTCCCTGATGAACAGGGACCCTGATGTGGGACTCGATCCCAGGACCCTGGTATCATGACCTGAGCCAAAGGCAAACGCTTAACCGACTGAGCCACGCAGGTGCTCTGCAAACACTACTTTTAATGAAAAATGAATTTAGATATTTTTCCCAAATGGAGATGGTGAATACGGTTTGTGTTTAATCATGTAATAGTAAGGATCAAATGAATATTTTTCTTAGTTGTTGAAAACTCAGGCAATTTCAATTTAAAAAGTTCTGATGTTCATTATTTGAACAGACAATAACATGGTTATTATAAATAATGCAAGGGATACATATAGGACCTCATAGGAAAATTTCTTAAACAAATCAATAATCTAGAATTTCTCAGAAGAAGCCAGAAGACCAGTATCCTCCATAGCAGCATGGACGGTAAGAGGCGTATCCATATCCTCCATAGCCACATCCATAGCCACATCCCAGGCCACCATAGCCATAGCTCAGGCCACCATAGTAGTTGTTGTAGAAGCTCATAGTGTAAGGAGAAGGCTCAGTTGAAGAACAGAATCAATTTCTAGGGTTTTAAGTTTATAATCTACATAGGGCCTTATATACCAACTGAGTGGTATGTAGGGCAAACCACAAGCACCATTGGATTCAGGCTTCAAACTAATTGGCATTATAACCATCTCAAAAGTTCCTCATTACCAGTATATCCAAGACAATTTTGCTGCGTGTCAGGATGCCTGTAATGAAATCATGTGCCTTTAATGAAAGGGTTTTCTCCTACTTTGGTGACTTGTTTACTGCAGATGTGAGATCTAAACTATATTACTAGCTACCATGAGATCACATAACCATACATGTTCCACTTCTTCAAAATTCCTTTTTCCTTTAATAACATTCTCCTTCCTAGCTGCATATATGCACCCTTGGGAGTAAAAGTATGGTTTCAAAGATGTAAGGAAGGTTGGAAAATTCGTGGAGAAGATGTGGCAGAAGTCACATAGACTACATGGAGAGGACATGGCAAGGTTCACTTGTAAATATCTGAATGATTAATGTGTTTTATTGTGTGTTTTTTGTGGAGCAGGATTATCCACTTTGGTTTATACTTCACATGTATATGCATCTATCATTTTGTATATGATCAAAAACCATGGTAGAATCCCTTAAGTTGAAATCCATGGACCATGGCTACATAAGGATTTACTGTATTAGTAATTTGAGTTTAAAAATCTATTCCAGAAACTTTTGAAGATCTACTGACATCATGTACTTCCTGCTATGACACAATGAAATAGGTATGCTTCTTTTGGTATTTCAACCTCAACTTTGTTATAAGAAAACAAACAAACCCAAATTGAGAACATACTACAGAACATTTGAATTTTTAAATTGTTAATGCCATAAAAGTTAAGAAAAGACAGAAACTGTCACCAATTGAGAGGAGACTAAGGAGTTAAGACAATCGAATGCCATGTAGGATCTTGAATTTGGTCCTGGACCAGAAAAAGGATACTACTGAAAAAAATGGCAAAATCCAAATATTTAGTTAATATTGTATGAGGTTAATTTCTTAGTCTTGATAATTGTACTTGATTATGAAAGGTTTTACCATAGTTGTGTAACTGGGTGAAAGGTATATGGGAATGTTCTGTATATTTTTACAACTTTTGGTAACTCAAATTATTTCAAAATAAAAGTATTTTAAAATTCTACTTGATTGCATTGATTTGGTCATTTATTAATCTTTTCATACATCAAACTTTTAAGAATCAATTATCTGTCAGGCACTACTGTGAGCATTGGAAATGGAGCAGTGAACAGGACAGACAAGATCCCTATTGTTACAGAGCTTAAATTCTAGATTGAGCAAGAGCAGGAAATGCAGGCAGATATTTGAAAGCAAATATGACAAGTGAAGGAGATCATTTTTGATAGTGAGGAGTCTATTTACATAACAAATCAAGGCAACGTAAAGTAAATTTAAGAAGAGCACTGGTGAGAGATTACTTCAGACTGGATGGTAAGGGAAAGGGAAGAAAAGGTCCTAGCCATTTTTGCTGTTACTTTCAAGGGATCAGCAACCCCCAAGCAGAAGTTTTAAGTTGGAAACAGATTTGGTACATCTGAAGAACAAAAAGACTACTGATTTCTGTGTACTATAAAGAGAGGAAGAGTGTTCCAAGAGGCCCTCATAAATCTAGTCAAGGCTGTAACCAGACAGCCCATAAAGGCTGTGTTTTAAGCTTTGGGTTACTAGATATAGGAAATAAAAATTTGATTTTCAGATAAACAATTTCTATATATAAGCATATCCCATGTAATATTTGGGAAATTCAATATTCTGAATTTCAACATTCTGAAATTCAAATTTAACTGGTGTCCAGTGTAATCTAGCAAACTTAATGTGGAAAGGCAGTAAAGGATAAACCAGGGGAAGGAACCTCATCTGATTTATGTCTTGTATGCTTTAAGATGTAGAAAAAAAAAAAAAACTAAACAAAAGAAAGAAATAAATAAAAAGAATTGGGGCTACAAAGAATCTAGAACTTAGTTTCATTTTATTATATTTTTGATGACCATTAATACTCTAAGGAATGTCAAGTGATCATACCAGAATTGGAAATGTGAATGGAAATGAATTGGCTAAAATAGTGTATCCAAAGTAATTCTGAAAGAAAGTTTAAATATTATATAGAATACTACAAAACTAATATAACACAGACTGTGTGTTATCTGCACTGGACTTAAAAGAAAAAAACACTTAATTTAAAAAAAAAAAGAGTTTAAATGGAAACTATAGGCAGGACAAGCACCTACCTGGGCATCCTCACATTTGAAAACAAGATCTGAAGGAGAGAAAAGAAAAAGGATACTAAAAAGGAGCACCTGAAGATACTGGAATTAAATCCAATGTGTGCGGTAGGATGTAGTTAAGTGTCAGGGAGTCTTTCAGCAATGAAAAGAGAAACTGGTGAATCTGAACGCTACTCAGAATCTTAGTAAAATGAAGACTGGCTCTCTAACTTTGACAAGATTGGGGTGTTGGTGATCCCTGCAGGAGCGGTTTTGGTGGAGTGGTGAGGACCAAAGACCAAAAGGTGTGAGGAAAGATGTAAAGAGAAAGCTATCATGGAAATAGACGTGAAGTTTTGCAATGAAGCAGAAGAAAATGGGAGAGTAGCTGCAAAGGGCCAAGGACACAAGGGAGGGGTTGTTTCATTCTCCTTTTGATCATGGAATGTAGTTCAGAACTAAATATGGTTCAGAAAATCACAGCAGAAAACAAATTGTTAATGGAATCTCCTTGGGTGCAAGCCTCTGTTATGATCAGAGAGACAACTTGGTTCTTCAAAAGAAACAAATTAGCTCCAGGAAGTAAATTCTATAGAGAAATAACCCCATAAATGTTATTATCAGGGACATTGTATTGCACAAAAAATAATATCTTCTACAGCTACATTAATCAAATACCAAAAAACAAGTTACTTATAGTTTTTTTTTTTAATTGACTGATGCAATTTAGTAATACCAATTTTAGGTGATGTTCTAAGAACTTAGCCTACAGGAAGACTGATCAGCATGATATTTAAATTAGTTTTTACTGAAAACTTATTCTAACTTATTACTTGATTGACTGTGATAGTTGAGGCTACTTTTAATTTCTGAATGGAAAATCTGAAAATGATATAGTGAAGATGTCCTCTGCTTCTAAGATATCAATCTAGTAAATGGTGAATAAAATGACACAATATTATGCCCATTTTACAAAAATGAACCTGCCAAAAGACACACATGGAAAGAACATTCAAAACACACAGTAAATGAAAGGTTGAATGTGTTTGATCAGATCCTTAGTATGAAAACATCTATTTTATTAAGAGGCATTTTTGACTCCTTAGATACACTTAAAAAGACAGATGAATTGGAAATTTTTAAAAATCTTGTGTCTTCATTCTTATAATCTATGAATTATAGATTATAATACAGAGAGTGTCCATCATCTTTTACTCCCTGCCTCTGCCTATGGTTATGAGGGGATACATAAAAATAATAGTTTGACTCAAAAATATCATTAGAATAACAGAAATACACTGACAGATTACACATGATGTGTGGATAATGACACCCCCCCACATACATTTTTATAAAGACACAAACGTACATTTTTTTAACTGTCACATGAAACTATTTTCACTTTTCCAGTGCCTCCCAATAGGAAGAATTATCACATTAATTTGAATAAAGACTAATAATGGTAGGGCCATGCAAGAGAACGCAGTATGATCGGTTACAAAGAGAATAATGACTGGGTATTTTGATAAAGGAACAGAGCTCTGTGTAATACACTGATAAATGTAAATAGGCGATGTTAAACCTATTGGATAGTTCCTTAGAATATAATTCTCATTAATGAGAATACTTATTTTTATAATTGTATGCTCAATGTAGAGAGAGAAAAGCAAAGCAATTGGATTCCAAGGAATAACTTATTTTGTAGTTCTTCCGTAGAAATTGAATATAAATGGGAATTAGACTCATTGGTACACATAGAAAAGGGTAATGCATCTTGCTCAGACTCGGTATTTTGGAAAACTTAACTGGATTATTATAAACACCATGGGGATGAAAGATACATTATGGTTTTAGTATAAAAAGGAACTGAATCCCTGCAGAAAACGATTAACTTGGATCAAAAGAAAGAGTCAAAAGTAGTATTATTCTTATGAAATATTAAAAATGTTAGTGAAACTAACTTGTGCCAAGAGCAAATAAGATTGAGACTAATAAATGTATTCTTTCTTGATTTAAAGAATGGTTATAGGAGGCTAGAGTGAAATTCTAATTTGGGGCTGAGCCGCATAGGCGTGAGTGTGTGTCTCCTCTCATTGAAGCCCTTGGTTGGATAAGGCAGAGTCCAAACTGAGAGCCAAATACAGCAAGCCTCCCAAATACCTCTAAGACTTATTTCATGGTTGAGGAACAACAAGCTAATTAGATGAGTCATAAAATTAGCCAATGGCATGGCATATATGGTGGGTTACACCCACATGGAGGGTATATAAAAGGTCTCTGCAGGCGGGAGTTGTCCACACTGAAGTGACACTTCTCCTCTCCTCCACCCAAGCAAAACCTCAACAACCAACACCATGTGTGGCAGCTACTACTACGGAGGCTCTGGCTACGGAGGCTGCGGTTACGGAGGCTCTGGCTATGGAGGCTGCGGTTACGGAGGCTGCGGTTACGGAGGCTGTGGTTACGGAGGCCGCGGTTACGGAGGCCGCGGTTACGGAGGCTGTGGTTATGGAGGCTCTGGCTACGGAGGCTGCGGTTACGGAAGCTGCGGTTACGGAGGCCGCGGTTACGGAGGCTGCGGTTACGGAGGCCGCGGTTACGGAGGCTGCGGCTACGGAGGCCAGGGCTGTGGCTATGGCTCCAGCTATGGCTGTGGCTTCCGCAAACTGGGCTGTGGCTACGGATACGGCTCCCGCTCTCTCTGTGGCTCTGGATGCGGCTCTGGCTTTGGCTGCTACTGACTGAGGTCACCTTGGGAGACTCTCACCCTCCGCACCTGCATGTGGGACTCACCAGGTCTGAGCCCCACACGCTCTGAACTTTGCTGAAGACTTGCATGCTGGAGCCCTTTGGGTCGGATACAGCAAACTTCTTCCTTCCCATATTTAACTCATGAGAAGTGGGAGCATGTGAAACTCATCCTGAGAACTGTGTGGTCTCTCATTGGAATGATGCTGCCACAGATCCTCCCTTTTGATGTTCATGGAGGAACCATTTCTCTAATTTCCTAATAAACTCATTCAGTCTGGAATAATAAACCTGGCTTTCTTGTCATTTAAAGTCCAGTATTTGTCTTTTTTTTTTTCCCCCTGGATGAATTAAAGGAAACAATCGCCTTATTGGGGCACATCTTGTTTAATATTCCTACTTCAGTGGTTTTGCCAAATCCTTGATTTGCAACATTATGGAAGTAACAAACTTGAAGACCTCTTTTTTCTGCTTTGGTAAGGCACTGATATCATGCGTTATGCTGGTGTATTGGGAGGATGAAAACAGGTAATTTGTTGATTTAGTTAAGCATTGTCTGGAAATACTACGTATTCCAAGTACTTTTACACCAAAACCTTAATCGTGAAATCCTTTAGAAGATGCGAAAGTTGGCACAGAATTTTCCAATTCTAGTCTGTTTGGAGGCTGGCTAGCTTATTTATTTATTTATTTATTTATTTATTTATTTATTTATTCATTCATTCATTCATTCATTCATTCATTCATTCATTTATGAGAGAGAGAGAGAGAAACCATAAGCAGGGGAGGGGCACAGGACAGGGAGAAAGAGAATCCCAAGCAGACTCTGCGCTGATCTCATGAGCTTGAGATCATGACCTGAGCTAAAATCAAGAGTCAGATGCATAACCAACTGAGCCACCCAGACACCCCAATGTTTTGGGGCATATTTAAAGAAGAAGCATTTCCTATGCTTGCTCAATGCAAGAGTTAGAGAAGTTTAGACATACTCTTATACCTAACTTCTATGTGTCTGGAAATATATAGCTTTTTTTTTTAGATTTTATTTATTTTTTGATGGAGAGAGACAGCAAGAGAGGGAACACAAGCAGGGGGAGTGGGAACAGGAGAAGCAGGCTTCCCGCTGAGCAGGGAGCCCAATGCAGGGCTCGATCCCAGGACCCTGGGATCATGACCTGAGCCGAAGGCAGATGCTAAACGACTGAACTACCCAGGCACCCCTGGAAATATATAACTTTTTTTAAGTGACACCTTTTCTACCATCCTTGAGGTATTTAAGTTTAGAGCCACTTGATGGTTTTCTTGAGATTCCTTTTTCCTGTGATTTATGTGATTTCACAGTTGTAGCCATAATCATTTGTTTCTCCACCAATTTTCTGTGCCTAATGTATCTGTAAACTTGGCAATTATCTTCTCTTGATAGAGAGTATTTCAAGCCTTTGTGTTAGACATGAATGAGTTTAAGTAGCATTTTAGTAGAAGATAATGGATATGTCCCAATTCATTCTGACTAGCCCAAGATAGTAAAAAAGTTGAAGCCATGGAAGGAATTAAGATCCCTGGAAAAATTATAACCCAGAAGAGAGCCCTTTTTTTCCTTTAAAACCATTATTTTATGAAAACTACTTTTCTATTTATTCTGAAAGCTTAGAATTTTCTATTTAATATTATGCAAAATTTAGATGGTTTATGTTTGTGCATTTCAAGCAATGGTAGATTTTTTAAAACATTTTGGCCTGGGGCGCCTGGGTGGCTCAGTTGGTTAAGCGACTGCCTTCGGCTCAGGTCATGATCCTGGAGTCCCGGGATCGAGTCCCGCATCAGGCTCCCTGCTCGGCGGGGAGCCTACTTCTCCCTCTGACCCTCCTCCCTCTCATGCTCTCTGTCTCTCATTCTCTCTCTCAAATAAATAAATAAAATCTTTAAAAAAGAAAAAAAAACTATTTTGGCCTACCTGGTAGGTCATAACAATCAAACACAAAGAAATTGGATATTGACTTGAGTTAGAGAATAGATCTTCCAAGATCTGCTGCTTACACTGTCTTAGCGTGAGCATATTTGGTTGACATGTTAGCTTCTCTAAATATTTCACTTCAAGTGAAATGCCACTGCTAACAGGCCCAAACAAGCATCTACTTTGTATTCACATTGGTTTGTTCACTTCTTTAAAGGCTTCAAATTATGAATAACTCCAACTGAAACTGAAAAACATAAGATTCTTTTACGTTTTACCCCATTCCACTATTGCTTCTTTCTTTCTTACAGTGAAAACTCTGGACCCCAACAACATCACTGTGTTAACTATTCAAACCTGTGCACAATATACGCTCTGAATTGCACACTGAAAGCAATACTCCCGAGCAACCTGCTAAAATTTCTTAGCAGCGTTTTTAGCATTAGAAGAGGTCCCGCTAAGAATGGACAGAATATTGTGCTCAACGTTTATATGAATTAATTTTCTTCCTGAGTAGTTATTCTATTCATTTTATGGATAGAGTTCTTTTGTTTCCATTTATATTCGATTTCAGGTGTATTTTTTCCATTTTTAAAATATATTGAGTATTTCCATGGTTCAGAAAAGCAAACTATATAAAAAGATATACTCAGAAATAGTCTCACTCTCGTATTTATCCCTTCCACCCATTCTCAGTCACCCCGTTTATAAGTATTTTCATTTTCTTCTGCTTTCTTAATACAGAAGCAAGCATACATATCATGTTTATGTATTCTTATTTTCTCTCTGTGTTACCTAGAGGTTGCATACTTTTTACACTCTCATTTTTATTTTTTTTGTTTTTTATTTTCCCTTTTACTTCTTTTACCCTTTATGCTCATATTCAAGCTTTCAAACAGGAGTCACATACATTTAGGCATTAAAGAAATGACTCACTGCAGATTTTAGTACTCCAAAAAAATAATGTTTTTCTCTGTATCAATTCATTTCTCCCAGCATTTACTTTTGAAAAATTTCAAACCCTCAATTAAGTTGGAAAAGAGTTGTAATGAACAGCTAAATACTCTTCATGTAAATATGGCAATTGTTGGTATTTTGCCTGTCTGCTCTTTGTCTCTCTCTCTTTCTGCGTCTGTCTCTCACCACACACACACACACACACACACACGCACGCACGCACGCACACACATACACACACACACTCAATTATTCCTGAACAATACTATTATATAATTCATAGTCCATGGTCAATTTTTTTAAGTGTCTTTTATAGCTTTTATTTCTGATATAGAATCCAATGAGTGAAAACTATCATACTTTGCAATTTATTGTCTGTTATAATCTAGCATTTCATGAAATCTAGAGCACTTTCTAGCCTCTTATTATTTCATATTAATACATTAATACATTTTTAACATTGCAAGATAATCATTTACTAAAATATACCACAATCTATTTTTTTCTGACTGTATCAATTATAATAATCATATATTTCCAAAACCAGTATTTTTAAGCCAGAGATTAAGATCATTAAATATGTCAAAATTTAGGAAATTTATGCCAAAATTAGATCAATCAAGCATTGAGTGAATATAAGGCAACTTTGTGCTCTTTTTGGGGGGGCAACTTTGTGTTCTACAATAAATTCTGAGAACAAAATTCAGTGTATAAAGTGTCAAAATTGTATGACCGAGAATCCTGGGTAATAGGTGGATTACTTAAGAGCTTTATACTAAATTTTTATATTTATAACTGGATCACCCTTAACATATGTAAGTTTAAATGTTGTGCATTCACCTTTAGTCCCCATCTTCTGGGATTATTTTGTACAACAGTACTCTATTTCTCTTCAGCAACGAAGAAATGACTCTCTAGTTGCTGGGGATGTTACAGGCAGAGTACGTTCAATTGAAGAGCACCCTTAATGCAAGACAGTGCCCATTTCCTGCAACCAGCCTCCCATGATTGATCATTTGGAAGGTATAATGACACACCTTCTTGCCCGACTTTAGGATCTTCCATATTGTTTCTTGAACCTTCCATTGAGTCTACTGCCAACTCAGCTCTCCTCTCTACCCCAATCTGTCTCCTCCTCTCCTTAGAATATTCATTCCAAGAATTAATTGCTGTAATAATGCTCTTATAGAAAAATAATCTAATCTGAGGTCATAAATGCACCCAGTTGTCACACTATCTAAAGTCTCTTCCCTGACTTTAATAGTTGTACAGATTATAGGAGATATTTTCTTTTAGAGTATTCCTCAGTTCTGACTTCCCTAATGTTTCCTTGTGATTAGAACAAGGTTACACATTTTGTCAAGTGAATAAAAGAAGTGTTGATGTTTGCTTTTTGTTGGGCTTTATTGGTTGGCACTTGAGGTTGATTTGTTCCATTACTGATGGGGATAATTTTATACTTGATCAATATGGTGAGTACCAGATTTCTCTACCTGAAAGTTACTTTTATTATTCTTTTAGCCATTAAGAAGTATATTGGTAGAGATATTTTGTGACTATATAAATATTCCATTCAAATCCACAAATTTATCATTAGTCTTAGCACTCATTTTTCTTTCTTGCCTGAATTATTTATTATGATGATGGATTGCAAATGTTGATTTTTCTGATTTTCATCTTTTTTTTTCAAATATATTAGTTGGCATTCTGCAAGGAAGTTTTTCCACTTCATTGTTCATTTATTTACATCAGCCTAAATTCATGGATTTCTATTATAAATAATCCATTATTATAACAAGGATAGCAACTCCTAGGCTCTCTCACGAGGCAAAAAGTATGTATAAATATATTACAGTGTGAGATTTAGATTCTGCCACTTAGCTGCCTATAACATTGGGCAAATTATGTAAATTCTTAGGCCTTGTTATTCTTATGTAAAAATCACCACCTACAGTTTGGTGCTTTTATGAGAATTAAATGTGTTAAGATATGTAAAGCATTTAAACCATGTCTGGAATTTAATAAATGTTGTATATGTATTATCATGTACATACACATAGTTTCTTTCTGCTTCTTCCTATATATAGGAATATTCTTTGTTTATCTTGTCTGGTGCTCTTCATGGAATTCTTATGTCAGAACTCCGTGTAACAATTTATAACTATTATTTTAATAATAATAACAATTAAATAGCATTTACAAGCTGTTTACAACAGAGCAGTTACTGTGTGAAATTCCTTATGTGCATTATTTCGCATCATCCTCAGAACAAGTCTGAGATGTGGTAAAACTATCGCCATTTTACAACTGTGAAAAAGTAGTGATGAAGAAATGTACTCAAGTGGCAGTTCTCATAACTACAGGATATTTGTCTCTTTATGTATAAATAGAAAATATTTTTTCCTGCCTACGTAGTATTTTCCCCAGAAAAGGCAAAGAAACTCCCAGGACATTTAAATATTAGTATCCTTTAATTATTAATATCTGATATGAAACTAAATATATGTTTATGTTTTAGGAATCCTCCTCCTAAAAATGTCTTTCTTTAAATGTTTCCCTGCTCTTCTTTTCTGTTTATCACTTTTTATGTGTGTGATTCTTACTCTACCATATTAGATAATCTAGAGTCTATTCTACACATCTCTTATGTTTTTGTATATTTTTTCTTATTATATTTTTACTCTAAATTTTAGAAGAATTTCTGAATTTGTCCCCCTATCTTACCTCATATTAGTATTTGTCTGCCTTTAATGAATCTTTACATTTGGAAGTCAACTCTTTCATGACAAATACATGTTTTCTCTTTTCAGATTTTGCCATTTGCATGTATGCTTATTATACTTTTCTAAAATTGTGGCTTTTAAGCATTAGTAAGTTAAAAAAAATGTCTGAAAGTGTTGTCCTTGTCTTATAATAGAACTATTTCAGAAGCTGGACTCATTCTGAGTCCTCAGATTGATATCCTGATTTGGAATAGCTATTATTTCCTTTCATATAGTTCTATCCTTAAAAAGATTGATCTATACATACCCAGTACTGAGACTAGAGATTTATTCTACCAGAACTTACATGTGTTCATATGTAAACCTCTCAAACACAGACAACTTAAAGAAAAATATGGAGATTTTCCTCATTTTAGTTTGCCTAATTAGGAATATCAATTATTATCAAGGGAGACAGTGTGGTAGGCGAAGCTAGTTATCTCTAATACCATGTAAAAGACTTCATGCACATGTTCATTGATGCCCTACCTCAGATTCCCTCTGTCTTCTCCCTAAGTGAGATTTTCTTTCTTATACAAAGAATCCTAAGTTATTGTGATGTTCTTTCATCCTAACTTTTTGTAGATAGGTCAGCAAGCAACACTCTCCAGATTCTTATAGGAGATACTTGGTGTCTCAACCATATTCTTTTGCATTAATCATGCACATAATATACATACATTCACACAAAGAAATGGTGGAGATAAATGAATATACATTTCAAAATATGCTTCCAAAGGAGCTTATATTTAATACAAAAATAAATTAGAATTTTTTCCTAAAGAAAAATTGAGTGAATATGTGCAAACATAGAATAACACACATTTTATACTTATCAAATGTGTTCTACTGACTCCTAGGAGTTGATTTTTCTAGGAACATAGAAGTCCAGAGTGGTTATTTGACTTTATCATTGAATTCAACAATGAACTTCATTGTAGTAAAAGTAATTATATAATAAAAATAATAATAACAATGTATTTCTCATATCTTTTCAGAGTATGGGATATTTTACCAAGAACCTGTTTGTTAAAGAAAATCTAGTAGATTCCATGAAAAGGTATGTCTGCCAGTATTATTGTTTTAAATTAAAAACACCATACTCCAGTCAGAACACAAAGAGTTCAAATTTAAAAAAAAATGTTTCATGAAAATGTCATTTCATAAATCAAATGAAGCCTCATCATTTCCTTTTTTCTGACTATGAATGCAGAATATAAATTTGAAACCAGGGGGGGAATATTTCATGCCTTAAAATAGAGTCTTAAAAGTTTAAGAAATATTAATGTAAATGAGAAAGTCCAGTTTTCTTAGGCCTCGTATTTCAGAATTTCAAACTATTTGCTTTTTATCAAAAGCATCATGAAACTAAGTAATAATATTTTGGCTTTTAATGGTAAAGCATCTCTTGTATGAAAATGAGAAGAATCCCTCATGGAAAATAATAGGTTTGTGACAGGAGGTAATAGATGGAGAATTCAAGGTTAAGGGAGAATGCTATGATCTGCTGAACGTCAGTACAGTGAAGGTAAAATTATTTATCTGGAACAGGTCAGAGTTTGTCAATAAAAATGCTATTTCTTGCCATAGAGATTGGTTACAAAAGGTGATTGAAGATTTCATGAGTAAAGCTTTGAGGATGAGACAACTGATTCTCATTAAGGGCCCAAAGAATGGTTCAGATGTGGTGAAACAAAAGCAGATCTCTTCATTGCCTCTGAAGCCATGTCTAACACCAGAAGTCAACAAATTACTCACGTTGGCCCTGCAAATTAGCCAATGACATGGCACGTGTTGTGGACGACACCCACTCTGAGAACATATAAAAGGCCTCTGTAGGGAGAAAATGTCCACACTGAAGTGACACTTCTCCTTACCTCCTCTACCCAAGAACAACCTCAACAACCAACACCATGTGTGGCAGCTACTACGGAGGCTCTGGCTACAGGGGCTGCGGCTACGGAGGCCAGGGCTGTGGCTATCGCTCCAGCTATGGCTGTGGCTTCCGCAAACTGAGCTGTGGCTCTGGCTGTGGCTATGGCTATGGCTCCCGCTCTCTCTGTGGCTATGGATGTGGATCTGGCTGTGGCTACGGCTATGGCTCCCGCTCTCTCTGTGGCTATGGATGTGGATCTGGCTGTGGCTACGGCTATGGCTCCCACTCTCTCTGTGGCTATGGATGTGGATCTGGCTGTGGCTCTGGCTTTGGCTGCTACTAACTGAGGATGCTGTCGGAGACTCTCACCCTCTACACCTTCGCTTAATGACTCAGCAGTTCTGAACCACACAAATTTTTTGCCTTACCCCCAAGTGACATTTATTCTACCCTCCACTGCAAACTTCTGATATGATTTGGTCAAAGTCTAATATCTGGAACTGATACCACTTGATGTCTGGAAGAATATGAAATTCAACCTGTGAACTCATGTTCCTACAAGATGATGTTGGTGTCGTTCTTATTTTTGTAATTTTATGCTAAATTTGCTTCTCTGCTTTCCTAATAAATTTTGAATTTCTTCATAAATGTGAAAGAGAAAGTTTTTTAAAATTAAGTTATTGTGCAGAGTTTGACTTTGCTTTTTTGGGTTATTAATAGGGTAACAATTACTTTTCTTTGGGACATAATTTTCCTCAGTATTCATCTTGTCTTTGCTGTACTGATTCTAATATTTGTGACTAAAGAAAAATCTGTGACCTTTGTAAATCTTAGTTTCTCCTCTGGCAAAGAGAAAGAAAGATATTTTTTTTTTCTTATAATGATTTTAGCTCTTTATGTGTCTTGCTCTATAGATTTCTACAGTTTCTTAATTGGTACTTCAGGCTGCCTCCAGTCTCAATAGGGACCTAGCATGTTGGGCACAAGTTGACTTCCCTTACGTGGCCAGAGATCTATGAGTGCTGATATTGTCAATAATTTTCATTTATTGTGCTTCGATAGGATATATGGAATTTTGTCAGGTGTGTGCCAAACCTACAATGCAGAAAGCCCTAGATGAATTCTCTCCACTGGAATCCACACAGAGCCCTAGCTTGACTTAAACCTTGTTGCTCACGGGCCCTATCAACCATTCATAGCAGGCAAAGAAAATTGTATTTAGGAATGGAGGGGAAAATAATATAGTTCAGGTTGCCCAATTGCTCTATTCAAAAGATTTAGGATCTGCCATAGATATGGGTTAATATCAATATTTCAGCAAGTTATTTGACACTAATTTTTATGGGTTCATAATAGACAAGAGATATTGCAGCCTGAGAACATATTACATGAACATAGCTGAATGTATAAAATCTTACCTTCTGCCTTCAGGTTTCTTCTTTAGCTTTGATGTATACAACATATTCAATCATGACTTTAAGACAGATATTATAGCGGGATGAAGCTTATCAGGCTAATCTTCTGCTAACAGAAAACTATAACAACAAATAACAGTCTCTCAAGATTTTTAAGAAGATCCTGATAATCACAACATAATATTCAAAATGTCCAAGATACAATATAAAATCATATGGTGTACAAAAACCTAGTAATTGTGATCAGTTCTTAAGGGGGAAGAAAACTGAGACAGGCCCCACTCTGGCATATATACTGAGATGGCCCACATTTTCCCACCTACTGATACTCACACCCTTGTATTAACCCTCTCACTTCTCTGTGACAGGACCTGTGGCAACTTCTAATCAATAAAGTGTAAAAGGGTAATAGGATCTTACTTCCATGATAATGTTACATAAGACCATAATGTCCATCTTTCTTACATATTTTCTTTGCAGGCTATGATTAAGCATACAGCTAGGTTGTGTGCTGTCTAATGGAGGCCCACTTGGGAAGGAATTGAAAGTGGCCTCTGGCCAATAGACAGCAAGAAACTGAGGCCCTAGACACATCTGGATGGCTTAGTCGGTTAAGCATCCAACTCTTGATTTCAGCTCAGGTCTTCCTTCTCTCCTAAGTGACATTTTCTTTCTTATACAAAGAATCCTAAGTTGTGGGGTTTTTGGTGTTTTTTTGTTTTTTTTTTTTTTTTGACAGAGTGTGCACATGGAGGGGGGAGGGGCAGAGGGAGAGGAAGGGAGAGAATCTTAAGCAGGCTCCATACTCAGCACAGAGCCTGATACAGGGCTTGATCTAATGGGCTTCCATGAGCAGAAATAGCACCCATACAATGCTTCATTTCTGTTGCTGGGGGAAGAGCGAGCTCTGTGTGGACCCTCCTGGAGGGGGAAAGCATAACATCTTCACATGGATACCTCCAGAATCTGCCTGGTTCTTTTTCCCTTATCTATGTACCATTACTACTTTGCTATAATAAATCTTAGCCAAGAGTGCAAGTATATGTTGGTCCCATGAGTCCTTCTAAAATTTCCAAATTTCCAAATTTCCAAAACTGTGGGTAGTCTTGGGGACCTCCAACACAATATGACCTTCTGGAAAAAGCAAAAGTATAGATAGATTGAAGAATCAGTTATTTATAGGGTTTAGGAGTATGAGGAAGGCTTGATTGCAAAGGGGTTCGGAAAAAGCATGAGGGACTTCCATAGTGTTTTCCAGAGTGGCAACACCAGTTTGCACTCCCACCAACTGTGTAAGAGGGTTCCCCTTTCTCCACATCCTCATCAACATCTGTTGTTTCCTGTGTTTTTAATTTTAGCCATTCTGACAGGTGTGAGGTGATACTTCCTTGTAGTTTTGATTTGTGTTTCCCTGATGCGAGTGATGTTGAGCATCTTTTCTTGCCATTTGCAATGGTATGGATGAGCCAGGTGTATTATGCTAAGCGAAATAAATCAATCAGAGAAAGACAAACACCATACGATTTCACTCATATGTGGAATTCAAGAAATGAAACAGATGAACAGAGCGGGGAGGGAAAGTGAGAGGCAAACCATAAAACAGACTCTTAACTACAGAGAATAAACTGAGGGCTGCGGGAGGGGAGGGGGACAGGGGATGGGTTAAACAGGTGATGGGTATTAAGGAGAGCACTTGTGATGAGCACTGGGTGTTATATGTAAGTGATGAATCACTAAATCCTACCCCTGAAACTAATATTACACTATATGTTAGCTAACTGGAATTTAAATAAAAACTTGAAATTACAAAAAAAAAAAAAAGCATGAGAGGTTTGTGGGAGAATGATGGCACTGTTTTATATCTTGATTTTGCTGGTTGTCCACAACACTATGCATTTTTCAAAGTCACAGAGCTATACACCAAGGGAGTGAATTTTTCTGTCTGTAATTTAAAAATAAAAGATTAAAAAAAAGATTTGGCAAGGCATGGAACTTTGCAGATGATGGTTTGTGAAGGGAAAAGATATGCAGAATATTTACCATGAGTTAAGCAACAATAAACTAATTGACAAATGCTACCTCATTTAGTCTAAAAACTCCCAGCAGCAGAGACATAATAGAACGAGTGGAGCAACTGAAGCAGAAACAGCAAAAGAATATATGTCAAAAACAGGTAATTGCAACCTTTCTTGGAATTAAGCAAATACAAATTTTTTTTTTAAATAAAATAAATTCTGGGGCACCTGGGTGGCTCAGTGGGTTAAGCCTCCGACTCTTAATTTCAGCTCAGGTCATGATCTCAGGGTCCTGGAATGGAGCCCAAATCAGGCTCCGCACTCAGCCATGAATCTGCTTGAGGATTCTCTCCCCCTCTGCCGCTCCCCCCACTCTTGCTCACACACTCTCTCAAATAAATAAATCTTTTAAAATAAATAAATACAATAAATTTTATCACCTATAATAAATAGAAAGAAAACCAAGATTTTTTTTTTCAGGTTAGCCAAATTTATTAGGGAACACTGGGAAACAGAATGATGCAGGAAAATTATCAAGGCAGGATCAGTGACTGGTAAAAGGAGGTAATTGGGTTCACAAGATGAATATTGCATTCTGCTTTTCAGGAAGCAAAGGTTGGGAATAAATAACTATGGGATTTAGATAGACAGGGACCACCCCATTCTGCAAATCAGAATTATCCCAACCTAGTGTAGGAACACAAGGACATGGGATTCAAGGCTGGTAAATGATGATGCTACATGTGTGGGAGAAGAAAGTCTCCCATGGCATCCTCAGTAGTAATAGCCAAAGCCAGAGCCACAACCAGAACCACATCCATAGCCACAGCCTCCGTAACCACAGCCTCCCTCGCTGCAGCCTCCGTGGTAGCTGCCACACGTGGTTGTTGGTTATTGAGGTTGTGCTTGGGTAGAGAAGGAGAGGGGAAATGTCACTTTACTGTGGACAATACCCCTGCAGAAACCTTGTATATATCCTTGATGTGGGTGGGATCCACCACAAAAGTCAGGCCACTGGCTAATCTTATGACTAATTAGTTTGTTGTTTCTTAACCATAAGATAAAACCTCAGAGGAATTAAAGAAGTTTGTTTTATTTGGTGACTCAGGACTCCGCCAAAACAATTCAATGTCAATAATGACAGGAGAGAGTCATACATACAAATCCCTGCATTACACCAAATCCCATTTTAACCTCAATAAACATGCAACATTTCAAGAAGTAGCATTTGCAGCAGGCCGATTTTGACTTGCTCTTGGCACAAAATAAAATCTATAGTCTTCTCCCTGTCTTTCCAAAAAGCAATAGCACTCATTTTTGACCAATGAGTCTTGCCTCTACTTTGTTTCAAAGCATGTTTTTCCTCTTCAGTGTTTCAGCTGTCTCTCCACCTTTGAAAGGATGCAGCACAGAAAATTGCAATGATTGATCATCTCTGTAACACAATTAACAAAGAGCCAGCTTATTCACATGTCTTGAAGAAGCACTCTGAGCCAACTGCATATCTGTTTTTTTACTTATACAAATTATTGTTTTATTTTTTATGCCTAATTCTTCTTCAGGACACTAAAAACAGTTTATCCTATGGATTGCAGTTTCTGATCAGAACCTACCACCAGAGAGAGTGATAATAATGGATCCCATTTTAGTGAGACTTCTATCAATTGACATTTTCAACTGATACCATTTTTTAACTTTTGAGAAATTTAAGAATTTTTGCCAGTTATATGCTTATGGGCTTTACTATATCTGAAATGTCAGTGCTTCCCTTTTTTTTTTTTTTTTTTTTTTGTAATTCCTCACTGGTCAACAGGGAGATCTGTACACATTTGGAGATATACAATTATCAGCTAATATTCTGACTGAATTTTTTTTACCTTCAGATACTTGATTTTTCCCATTATAGAAAGGAA